GGACACCATTCCTACCCACCCTGGCTAATAACTATTAATGGATCTAATCTCCATACATGTATCTAGTTCTTTTTTTCAACCCTGTTCAAGTCCTTGTCTTCACAATATCCTCTAGCAAGGAGTTCCACAGGTTGACTGTGCGTTGTGTGAAGAATGTGCCTGGGGAACTGCTTGCTCCAAGATATTATTTGTATTATCAAATGTATAGGAGCCTGCCCCATGGATCATGACCCCATTGTGCTAGGCACTGCACGAATAAAGAACAGAAAGACAGGCCTTGCTATAAGGAGCTTACAATCTAAACATAAGACAACAGATGGATACAGACACAGCTAGAAGGGCCTACAAAGAGGCACTGAGACAATATTGGTCCGTATGCTACAATGGTCTGAGCACGCTAACAGTCTAACTATTGTGAAATTTTCTTTGTAAGCTACTGTGGAAAGATTTAAGGAAGGATTTGAAAGAAAATAATGAAGTGGCTTTGCGAATCACTGGAGTCAAGCATTTGACGGGCTTCTAGGCAGGATGGCTAACGAGCACTCAGTCGTTTTTCCTGAGGATTCAAGAAGCAAGAATTTTGGAAAAATAGGGCATAAGTAAATCTGTCCCCTAACTATGCAAGTCCAGCTGGTGCAAACGCTCTCAGACACAATGAAATGAGTTAGGTTTGAAGTGCTGAGATCTCCAATGTGAAATTATGCAGACGGGAAAGAGGCTGCAGTAGATAAAAACAGCCCGTTGTGCTATCAGGGGTGCACTTTGCTTTTGATGAATGCGAAACGAACCTTTCGCCCTGGAAATAAAGAGGATAATTTCTCTCTAGGCAGCGGCTGCTCGTGCAAGTCGTAAAACAACCGCGCCGGAGCCCTAATTTTATAGTGTTTTTTAAATGCTTTTGAAATGGCCCAGCTGCTTTGTGCAACAGTGACACAAGGCAGGATATTTACGCTGCCGATAACAAGCCCGCCCCGGCCTGCTCAAGCTGCTCCCAGCCTGCAGTAACTATGGCACGCAGGGAAAACCGGTACCTGCCAGAGTCGATGGATCACAATAACCTCTTGGTGTGATCAGTCGTGGGCAGATTCTTTTCCCCCCGACACCTGGATATTGTGTCTCGTTGGAGCTAGTCCGGGAGCTGCTGGTCATTCATTGCTTGCAATTCTTGTTCTATTTTAATTTGTGACTGTGCTGCCAACAGCGTGTGCCTCTGAGGTCACCCTGCCCAGGAATAACTGAGGAGTTTGGATACACTATTCCTGATCGTCCCTGGGTATCTCCATTGGGATGACACCAGGGAGGAAATTTGGAAATTTAAATTCGTGTGGGGGCTAGTTTCTGTCTGAACAGAGCCACATGCAGTCTGGATGGCGGTTGCTTAAAACGGCCCCAAGGCACCATAGTCCTGACCCGTGACTCCTTCCTGCTGTTTCAACATTGGTCTTCCAGGATTTCAGTTTACATCATCAATTCCTGATCGTCCCTGGGTATCTCCATTGGGATGACACCAGGGAGGAAATTTAAATTCGTGCGGGGGCTAGTTTCTGTCGGAACAGAGCCACATACAGTCTGGATGGCGGTTGCTTAAAACGGCCCCAAGGCACCATAGTCCTGACCCGTGACTCCTTCCTGCTGTTTCAACATTGGTCTTCCAGGATTTCAGTTTACATCATCACAGGTAAAAGGACCTCACTTGCCCCACACAGTCAAGATGACCCCCGTTTTTATAGGTGTCTAGGCATTGCCGCGCTCAGTGTCACTCGGGGGGTCTAAATTCCCACAATGGTCACCGGAAGTGGGACACCCATGTGCCAAAATCCCTTTGGAAAATTCGCTGCCAGCCCCTAAATCCATCAGACGTTGTGCTGCTTTGCACAGCCACACGTACCTACCTCTCCAGTTCTGGGGCTGTGACTGTGTACCCCACACACCTAGGCCATGTCTACACTGGCGCGATCTTGTGCCAGAAATATGCAAATGAGGCTAAGCGTGGAATATCGCCGAGCCTCATATCTAATGAGCTGCCATTTTTGCAGAAAAGGCTCTTGCGCAAGAAGGAGCATCTACACTGCCCCTTCTTGCACAAGAAAAACCCTTTTGCTCAATGCCATTACGCTGATTATTTTCAGGAATAACGACATTGCGCAAGAAGGTTTTTCTTGTGCAAGAAGGGGCAGTTCAGATGCTCCTTCTTGGGCAAGAGCCTCTTCTGCAAAAATGGTGGCTCATTAGATATGCAAATGAGGCTCGGCGATATTTCACGCTTAGCTTCATTTGCATATTTCTGGCACAAGATCGCGCCAGTGTAGACAAAGCCCTAGTGTGTTTACTGAGCAATGCAAGTGGTACCTAGCCCCCAGTAACAGTTAAGATCAAGAGACCTCTACAGCTCAAGCTAGGAGCCAGCTAGCTTTTAGCCCAAAGGGTAGAGGCTCCTATATTCAGCTCCAGAGATCCCAGGTTCAAATCCGCACGATGACGGTTTCAACTGTGTTCTTCCCAGGCCTGTTCCAGTTGGGCCAGGGGATGGAGCTGGTTGTGTGAATGTGGGGAAATGTAGCAAATTCTGCAAATCCAGGGCATCATTGCTAAGAGTTTGTCTCAATTTTCTTTCACAGCACCTCCCTGTTTCTGTGCAAGGGGCTGACGAGGGCAGTGGGAGATGCCCGGCTGTTGGGGAAGTAGCGGAGCTGGGCGAAATGCCTGTCGTGCTTTGCGTGGTGTTTATTTCTTGTAAAATAAAATGCAAATGGAACCCTTCGGGCCCTAGATTTTCTCGCACTGCTACTTGTGTCAGTAGGCTCAAGAGAAAATTTGGGGCTGAAAAGGTGAATTTCCGGGATGAAAAGAAGAATGCCTGGCCATCTAGTTTGGATGCTCAGGAGCTATACGTGACAGAGATAAGATAGTGGATGGATTTGCAAAGGGGCCAGTGCAAATTAGGCACCTAATTCCTATTGAACTTCACTGAGAGCTGGAGAACTAATTTGGCTCTGAGCTGCCCCTGTGACCTATCGCAGCACTGTAATATCTGACTGGTCCACTTGCTTTTTACTCATTCTGTGGGCCCCATTTCACTCTCAGGCTCCCCTTCAGCGGAGCACAATCTGCCCAAGAACTGGAGCAGGTACCAAACTTGCAGCCACTGAAGGGGAATTTAACGTGCCGGGCTGACCGGGGCTTCAGACCTTAGTTTGTGGGCATAGATAGCTCAGACCTTTTCTTCAGCCAACCATTGATTAAATGTCAGGAACTAGGAACCCCTCGCTCTCCATCTGAAACGTTTCTTTCTGCACCTGAGAGAGTCTCTTGCAATACAGGTGACTCCCGCACTTACGACCTAATTGGTTCCTGGAGAACCGTCTTAAATCAAGCCGCCATAAGTCGAATCCTTATTTCCCATAGGCACAATGTTATAAAGGGTGGTTCCATTCCCGGAAACCCATTTCATACCCTAAAAATACCAAAACTGACTACAGAAATGGAGGAAAACTAAACTAAATAGTTCAAATAATGCACAAAAATAACTAAAAAGTGAAGACCGATGTGGTGGAGATGCACGCAGTTCAAGCAGCAGCTGCAGACTGGCGAGTCTGAGTGACTTTGTACGTTTCCTATTTTGGGATGATGTGTGGTGTCAGCATCGTACACCGTCATACATGCAAACTGCAGGCATACATTGAGGGGGTAGGTTAGGAGCTATCTTGCATGAAAAAAATAGTTGTAAATGTCAGGTGGTTGTAAGTCAGGGGTCACCTGTAACAAGCTGTGTTTGCAGCAAGGCCTGACGCTGCCCTGAACCCCATCAAAAGAGAATAGAGGCCTGTTCACCTGTTCTTTTTTTTTCTTCTTCAAGGAAACCTGATATTTGCTGAATAAGAAAAAAAAAGTGAGTCACTGAGAGAAACTGTCAAAAGCAAAGCTTCCCAAACCAGAGCGCAACTTTACACACACTCCAAATAAATAACCACTCTGCATTAAAGTTACACTGTATATATTTTTTCAGAGCACTTCTAGCAAGAGTGCCTAGTTGCTCTGTGATGGTATTAACACACACACACTATAGAATTTCACAAGACTGGCTCTTAGGAACACCCTAAATATGTCCACAAAACTAGAACCAGACACAGGTCGAGAGTAGCTGCATAATGCAGATCGCAGGGATCTCCAGATCTGATGGACAATCAGAAGGTCTGGGCTCCCACCGTGCTATGTGTGGGCCGGGCCAACCCCGCCTCTTCCAGACAGGCATCCCCAAGAGGAGAGACAACTCCCTAAGGTTTCACTTGCAGAGTTTCTAGTCAATTGTGCCTATGAAGGTGTAAGGGAGCCGTCGCAACCTCAGAGAACCTAGAGGTTCGTGGGAAAGAGACTCTCTTCTGCCACAGCATTGGAACTGGCAGGTTCCCCTGCACCCGCTGAGCAGCAGGCAGAAGAGGAGACGGTGAAGAATGCGAAGCAGAAATCCGGGCAGGCTGCTGAGGACAACATGGAGCACGTGGCCATGCCCACCTCCACCCCTGAAACTCCATGAAGCCATAAAGAAGGAGGTTCCAAAGGCATTGGGGCATTGCCAAAGCAGAAACACCAACAGGAGAAGAGCTACCCTCTCAAGCTACATGCTACAGGGATGTTCCATATAGAGTTGCCCGATGGTTTAGCCAAAAATACCAACCCCCCCCCCCAAAGGAAAAATTCTGTTGAGGGTAAAAAAAGGGGAAGAACAAAGTTGCTGAGCAAAAAAAAAAAAGGACCCCAGGAGTTGTTTAAAAAAATAAATAAAAAAGCATGGCCCCTTTAAGAAATGCTTTTGAGGCTTTTTGACCCGAACACGCTGCTGATGGCCGTCCGCCATCTTGTCTCCCTGCTCCGGGCCAGACAGCTCCCTTGCGGAACCAGGTAAGCGCCCGGTATTTTCGCCTCCTGGCCGAGAAAAAAAATCAGAAAATACTGGACATTTTAGGTGTCTGGTATTCTCTGATTTTTTTTTTTTACCGGACAGGAGGCGAAAATACCAGACTGTCTGGGTCAATACCAGAAACCTGGCAACCCTAGTTCCATATGGGCCACGCTGTCTGACCGTTCAAATCCACGAGATCCCTGTGAGTTTGCAAGTGCCAGGCTTTATGCCTCTACATGACCAAATTCCCATTTCCCGATATGCGACTTATTGCTCTTGAAGAGTTTCCTGGCATGTCCCGGGTCATAGAAGGAATCCAGTGTTTCCTGCATTGCCTCCTGCTCCTCAGATGTGATGGGAGGAGGTTTGCTATATGCTAAGGAGAGGCCAGATAAGAGGTGGAAAATGGAAGAGAAGGAAAAAAAATCCCTAGGGGGAAATGAAACAGATAATGGACAGAGTACAGGCAATATAGCATGAGGGGGGAAAGAGAGGAGATCGAGCGAGTTTGTGACTTGTAAAAGCTATCGCCGCAGTGCACTTGTAGTATGGAAGGTGTCCACTCAGGCCAGCCTAGCATTTGATAGACTTTACTCTCCTTAATACAGAGCATAAATGCTGCTATTCGTGGGTGGCAGTTACTCTAGGCCAGGGAAGACCTACCCTGCCTGAGAAGGGCTGGGGCTGCATGGCTTGCCAGATCCCCAGTGGCCAGAGAAAGTTGAGGCCATGCCACATGGCGGCCCCGGTCTTCATCTGGGGTTGGCCGGGGCTTGGCTGTGGGGAAAGGTTGTGAAGGGGCATAGTCTCGGGGAAGGGGTGTGGCTTTGGGCAGAAGGGGTGGAGCTTCAGTTGCCTTTCCCAGCTGGGCCTTCACCTGCCACCCGTTATTTACAGAGAAATGTATCCTCCCTTTTGAACTAACTCTCCCTTGGGGCGAGAGATGGGGAAGCCAGGGGTTAAAATTGTAGAAAAAACTAAACCAGCACACACACACACACAAAAAGTGGAACCTCTTTAAACTCCATGAGAGCCACCCATCTCTGATATCAACTGGCAGAGAGTCAAGGTTGTTGCAGGGTTCTCTTCAACCAGGATTAGTATGAACTCTAGGCTCAATCCCACAAGGGCAGAGGATATCCACGGAGACTTAACATGTGACCATTAGTTCACTGCTTCTTCTTGGGGACAGGTCCAAACTCCAAATCGGGATCCGGATTTTGACCTTCCCAAGGATCAGGATTGTTCAGATCAAGATTAGGGTCAACCCAGATTGAGGGGGAGATGAGATCCTCAGAGGAGCTCCCCAGATGAGATCCTCCTGTCCACAAAATCTGGGAGAGGGGTCGGCTTTGGTTCTAGAATTCTGGCTCAGATTCATTTTATCTTTTTACTTCCTTTAACACTCTGGGACACTTCATATTTTGCTCTTTTTTTTTCTTCTCCTCCTGCGTTATAAGAGCTCACACAGGTTTGTCTTGTCTCGCAGTTCAACATCTAGGTCTTGCAGCTGTTTCAGGAACCCTCGGTTTGGCGAAACAGCTCGGCGCTGGATGACCCGCTGGACAGCGTCGGTCAGCGAGAGGTGATGGTGAATCATAAGGTAAGCCAGCACCAAGGAGGCGGATCTGCTTCTGCCAAGGACACAATGAACCAAGATCTTCGGCTGGAGTCCCTCAAAAGTGCTACCATGGCTGCGTGGGGCCATTTCGTATACTGCTCATGGACTCGCCTAGTTTCACCTCTGGCACATGGCTTTGAACGCATCCCAGGTCAGTGACCAAAACTCATTCTAGCATGACAGCTGTTCATCCTCCAGTGGGTGAGAGCGGTCGGGGCTCTCAGGCAAGTTGTGGACAGGTAGCCCCTGTTCAAAATGCAGCACCATTATGAGGCATCACTGGCAGTCTGGGCAGAAAGGCCGTGCACCAATTGGGCCACAGAGACCAGACAATGCTCTTAAGCCGGGAGGTGCTGCCTCAGTGAAGGCATGGAGGCATATTGGAGGGGTATTGTCAGAAAAGCTTGTAGGTCTGCTGCCTGTGCCATATGTTTCCTGTGGCTAATTAGTGGTCAGGGCTGTCTATAGGGTGTGTGACACTCAAGGTGCAACTGTGCCCATTCGTCCACCCTCCTAACATGCAACACAAGGCCTGCTCCTTGGGGGAGGTCCGACTTCAGAGCTATCTCTGGTTCCCTTCTCATTCACATCATCTTCTGTGGGACATGGCCCCGGACGCAGCCAGTCCACTCAGAGGGCAGGAGAGGCCGTGCCGGGGTAATGTGCACACCGATTGAGTGTGGTTCACTGCCTCGTGTCGTGGCGCTTCGACCACTTACAGAGGGAATGAATTTGCTCTGCCGCCTTCGCTGAGAGCCAGCTGGCTTTAGCTCAAGCTGCAGAGCAGGGTCGGCAGCGTATGGCACGCATGCCAGAGTAACCTCTTTGTGTCCCTTTTCCCTCCCCTCTGCAAAGTCCTGCCGATCGCAGTCCTGCTGACTCAGCTCAAAGGAGCTGTAGGGCCATAATAGGCTGGTTGCGGGCTGGGACCAGAGCGGGGTGAGGAAAGGTGTGCCTCTCTGGCCCCAGCAGGTCTAGGATAACCAGGGTTCTGGTTGCACTGTGCATAGCTGGGTTTCCAGGGTGAGAGAGGACATGAGAGCCTTACCCCTGCACTAAGGATGAAGCTCAAGGGTCCAGATAGGAAGAGGCCCAGGGAAGACGCTGCAACAAATTGGATTGAGCAGTATGTGACTGCTGGTTTTTGGGTTCCTGGGCCACAGATAAGAAAATAAGAAGATAAGAACGGCCATAATGGGTCAGACCAAAGGTCCATCTCGCCCAGTGTCTTGTCTGCCAACAGCGGCCAATGCCAGATACCCCAGAGGGAGAGAACACAACAGATAATCTTCACATGACCCCTCCCCTGTCGCCCATTTACAAACAGAGTCTTGGGACACCATCCCTACCCATCCTGGCTATTAGCCATTGATGGACCTAACCTCCGTGAATCTATCTCGCTCTTTTTTTAACCCTGTTAAAGTCCTAGTCTTCACCACATCCTCTGGCGAGGAGTTCCACAGGTTGACTATGCACTGAGTGAAGAAAAACTTCCTTTGGTTTGTTTTAAACCTGCTGCCTAGTCATTTCATTTGGTGACCCCTAGTTCTTATATTGTGGGAATAAATAAATAGCGTTTCCTTATTCACTTTTTCCACACCAGTCATGATTTTATAGACCTCTATCATATCCCCCTTAGTCTCCTCTTTTCTAAGCTGAGAAGACCCAATCTTTTTAATCTCTTTTCATATGGGACCTGTTCCAAACCCCTCATCATTTTTGTTGCCCGTTTCAGAACCTTTTCCTATGCCAATATATCTTTTTTTGAGATGAGGCGACCACATCTGTACGCAGTATTCAAGATGTGGGCGTCCCATGGATTTATTTAGAGGCAATAAGATATAAGATCCAAAGTAACAGGCAGGTCCAGGGACAGGTAAAGTGGTAGGACCCCTAGGAAGGGATGCAGCTTATTTGGGAGCCTGGACAAAAGGCTGAGTGTAAAGGACCTACATCCAAGGCGGAAGACCCTAGGGAGGGTAAAATAGACCCCTGGTTTATTGGACTCTTTAATACCCTGGAAGGGGTTCATTCGGAAGTGTGGACTTGGCCATTGAAGACACAAAGAGGTGCAGGGGACCAGGGGCAAGCAAAAGCCTGTGATACCATCCTCTGCCACTTGCAGGTGCCCCAAGGGTGTGTGCACTGTTGTATCTGCCTCCCAGGCGTTGGGTACCGTTTGCACGGCAGCTGGTGATGCTAGGCTAAAACTAATGCATAAGCACAGAGCATCCTCGAGAGAGGCACTTACCGTTGGGTGCACTCAGTGCTTTATTAATGTACTCTGAGGCGGGGTAGAAATGCCCACGCAGGTTAAAATTAGTTGAATCTTCTGCAGCTATTCCACAATAATGGATTTCCTGGCCATAGAAGGCTTGGTCTCCTTTACTCTCCCATGCGGAATGGGCAGCATTCAGTACGTGGGTGATGCCAAGTTTCCTCAGTGCTTCCTTGTCGTGGGCAATTACTCTACCAAGAACGAGAGAGACAAGTTCATAAGCAAAAGGGGACATGAAAGAGCCCCTGCTACGTCTGATTGACAATGAATGTGCTTGAGCAGTTCAGGGCCTGTTACAGCCGGAGATCTGTTGTGTGCATGGCATGACACCAAGTGGGAGCTGGCAAGTTGTGGTTTCTACTCTGAGGGTCATGTTTGCACTGCACTTACAAACTATGTAAATTACATGTAAATATGGAAAGAGGTTTTGTGTGTCAGAATATAACCACCTGTCTCTGCGTCCGTCTCTATGAGAATTAAAAGTCTGATCCTGGGGGATGCTAAGCTGCCTCCGTTCCCATTGAGGTCACAGGGAATTGTTGGCCCTGACTCAGCTCTTGGCAAGGAGGTTCACGTCACGAGTGGGTGCAGCGTCTCTCAAGATGACAGGACAGAGTCAAGCTTTTTAGTTTAGCCTGAAGCCCTTTTGTCTCGATCAGAAAGCACATGAATTGCGTTTTTGCAGGAGTAGGGGCGTTAGCCATGGAACCTGGCTAAATTCCAATGGAGAATTACATTCTGCCTGCTTAAAATGCCGCCGCGAGACTTGTTTGTAGAGAGTATTCCTCGTGGCTGTGCAGCATTGCTCTGCACTGCTCAAGGGCGTCTATCTTCCACCCCTAAAGGCACTGCATTTCGTGGTGCGTGATGTCTGTTCATCAGTGTCATACAGGCAGAACCTCTCATCTAGGATGCTCTGGTCTGGCAACATCCGTGGTCCAGCAGGAACACATATGTTGCTTGAACAGAGAACCCCGGCTGTAGAGGTTGCGGGTGGCTGGGTGTGGAGGCAGTCTGGTGGGTGGCAGAGAGCTCCAGAAGAAGCTGCCACCATGTGGGGGACAAGGACAGGGAGCCCCAGGAGTGGCTGCCACCTGGGGTGGGGCCAGGGAGCCCCTAGAGATCCTGAAGGCCTGACCTCCTCTGATCCGGCAAACTCCCTTGTCTGGGACAGTTCAGGTCCTGAGAGTACCGGATCAGGGAGGCCCATCAGATTGTTTGCACCGTATGAGATAAGAACTTTGGGGACTCCAGACGGAAAAGGCTTTATAAGCAAAACGCCGTTTTACCTCAGATTGTTCTTTCATTTCTGCTTCTCACGCAGCCTCCTGAGTGATTACAAGGGGCTAATTCCCCAGAAACAGGCCCTCAAAGGTGTGAATCTATGGTAGCGCCCTGGACTACTCTACCATACGGCACCGCTCTGATGCTATTTAAACTCCCTTCACTGGCAAAGGCTTGCTCAGAAATGCCCAGGATGTTTATTCCAGAGAGTCGTGGGTGCTTGTGCAAATGATCCTGCTCATTTCAGTCGAGGAGGAAAAGCCTCTCTGGAATTCCTGATCAATTCCAATTAACCCCAGTGAGGTTTTGATGCTGATTTCAATTTTTAAATAACTCTGTGCTCTTCCTCTGTATTGCAGATCTGATGGCTTGCGGGACTGCTCCATTCTTGACAGCAGCACCTTCTGGTATTGGCTCTTTGCAGAGCACACCTTGGCTACGTCTAGACTACAATCCTCTTCCGCAAGAGGAAATGCAAATGGAGCACTCATTTGCATAGGTCGTGCTCTCATTTGCATTTCCTCTTGCAGAAGAGGATCGTCGTCTAAACGTAGCCCCAGGGAATGGGAACCAGGGATTTAAAAAAAAATTAGCCTTGACAGACTACAGATTTCCCCTGGAGTTATTTCATCCTTCGGCAAGATAAATGCATTTTAAAAATCAAAATGCCACAAAAATGGCCACCAATGACAGTAACTGTGGCCTATCGCCAGCATGGACCTAGCCTCCGTTACCTCATTGCAGGATCACTGGCCTCCAATCCGGCAGGTTTGGAACTCGTGATTGGCACATGCAGAATTTGAAACACAAAGTAGTGTTGTAATTATTAAAATATAGGGTCGTGTTTCCCCAGCACATGCTTGCTCCTTGTTTTATGCGCTGTCCATTTACTGCTAAGACTTCCAGTGTTCAGAATGTAACCAAAGGGCACTGTGGCCAAGGAATCGCTAGCAACTCCTTCCTTTTCTTATGGTAGTTAGCATGATTGTTCTTTCCAGATCTTTCAGCCTGTTGATGTTGCAAGGGAACCTGCTGAGGATAGACTAGACTTGCACAGCTGGCAAAACTGATGCTTCTTTATGTGTCAGAAAGAAGCAAAGGGAGTACAAAATTCTAGCCACCCATAAAATCTAGGCTTTGTGCATGTGACTGCTGTAGCGTTGGGGTGAACTCCATTCTCTGTCAGCTGTACAGCCCCTAATGACACTTCTCTATTACAATTCCAGATCCGGAAGCCCTCCAAATGTGGACTGTTGATCAAATCCAATTGGAGTTGATCAACAGTCAACTGTCAAAATTACACCATCGGGTAAAGGTGTCATTTTTCCACCTTTGAAACTTAACAACTGCCTTGCTGTAGCAAAGAGGTGGGGTGGTTTTCCCTTTCCCAGCTGGGACATTGCCATGGCGATGCTTAATTCCTACTGTGCTGACCGGCAGTTTTTCCGCTTCATCACAAACTTATTAACCACAAGTTAGTAATGGCTCTGGTTTAATTATACAATGGTCATATTCCTGGGGGGAAAAATCAGTAATGACTCTGGGTCAATTAGCAAATGGTCATATTCCTGGGCAAAAAAAATCAGCAGAAGATTAGTTTGCCCTAAAAACACATTTTAGAATGTTAAATGTTTTTCATGAGAAAATCTCATGTAAATCTGGCGAAAAACCAAACATGAGAAATGGTTTAGCCTACATTTAGAGAACTCCGTGCCTCTGTTACGTACACAACTTGAGAAGGAACCATTTGCAAACCCCATTCAAATAATTGTAATAATTCGATGCAAAATAATAGGGAAAAATATTGCAGATGGAAATTCTTTTCTAACTGTATTCCTTGGTTAAGTCCTTTCTGGAGTGTGCAATGCACTCTCCGGTATTAATCTAAAAGTCAATTTCAAGACTACTCGTAAAGCAGTGAGACAGCTTACACTGGCAATTATTACAAACACCCGTCAGAAGGAATGACTCCGTTTTAAATAACACTTACATGTCGCCTATATACAGGTTAGGCCACACTTCGTCTACGTGGTTCAAGCCCATCCTGCAGCTGTCCAGAACATGCTCCAGCTCTTTGACGGAAGGGGTGGCAGATTGTAAACACTGATGGCTTGAAAGGTTCTGCCCATTTTCAGACATTGACCCGTTGGTTATATGTCGATTTAGATGATCTGAGACCCAGCCAGAGACTGCTGCTGAGAAATGGATAGTGGTGCTCCGGCTGACCTGTGCTTTTTTGGCTCACATTTGATGTTTCCAAACAGCTGGATCTCTTTAAATGGGGCATGCTTTATTCCAGGCCTTCTGACTGACTTGGCACCATGTCCTAGTTGGCATGGAAACTTTTCCCCCAAATGAGGCAATAATGAAAATTTTGCACTGCATGCCCGAAGTAAACAATATTACTGTAGCTCAGCAGAGCAGACAGATCTCTCTGCAAAAGGAATGTCATTCTCCCCCTGTTCTAGTCTTAGTGAGAATAAACTAAAAACAGGGAGACCTGTTCATTTTAGAGAGAGGTCCAAAATAAACCAATTTCAGTAATCTTCCTCTGAAGATTGACAGGCCTCTGTGTAGGCTAAATACAATTAAGGAGGACTTGTCACCTCTGCACTTACAAGCGTCTGTATCTTTAACCTCAAAATAATAATTAATGAAGGAGCACAATGAGCTTTGCTGAGTCGGAAGTAACCCCTGCCACTATCTGATCACCCCGATGGAAACCCAGAGGAAAGCCCAGCCCATCACCTGTGTCTCTGACCCCCTGCCCGTCATGGCTGATGAAGCTTAACAAAGCACAGCTTGCTCCCCTCATTGTAGCTGAGATCAGCCACGTCTCCTTCAAGGAACTGCCACAGTGCCTAAAGACCGACATTGTTTATCGGAGTTTTATGTGGGGTGGTGAGAAGTTCCCTGTATATATTCTATATACAGGCAGTCCCCGGGTTACATGGATCCGACTTACATCGGATCCCTACTTACAAACGGGGTGAGGCAACCCCACACTAGCTGCTTCCCCCCAGCAGACCAGAGAGACATGAAGCTAGCGCCCACCCCCAGCAGACCAGGGAGACGTGGAGCGGCTTTTCTCAGCAGACACCTCAGTTTGAGAATAAAGGACTGAGGGAAGTGAGGTGTGGGAGAATAAAACTGAGCTCTGGAGAAATGTTTGGCTAGAGTTTCCCCTACAATATGTACCAGTTCCGACTTACATACAAATTCAACTTAAGAACAAACCTACAGTCCCTATCTTGTACGTAACCCGGGGACTGCCTGTATAGGACTTGACTGTTCCCTCTGGTGTAGCCCTGTAGTAGGGGCTTAGTTTACACATGTATGCTTTGGATTCTTATCTCCAAGCACATCCCAGAACAATGAGAAGTGGGTTCCTTTTAAATCAAAGAACGGGAATAAGGAAAGAAAGAACAGGGCTGGGCAGAGAACATCTGCATGGGATTACATGACAGGATGGCTTTTGATGGTGGCAGCAGGGCTCGGTCCTTTATGGTTTATGATGTACTATGTTCCAAAAAACTCGTGCTTCAGGGTGACAGCTGGTCACTTGCAGGAGTCGAGATGGGATTTCGCACACACCCTGCCCCCGTGTTGGGTTTTTGATGTTCCTAGGAAGCATCAGACGTGGCCATGGCTGGAGATGGGACACTGGACAGGGAGGGCCAGAGCTTGGAGGTGGCACCTAGGGTTGCCAGATACTCTCACAAAAAAATCCCAAACATGGCAGGGGGAAAAATTGGTTGAGCAAAAAAGAAAAACCAACAACAAAGCGAAAACAAACCGAGAACCAAAGTTGTTGACCAAAAAAAAAAAGTTACTACGCCTTTAAATCGCCACATTCCCCGCCAGCCTTCTGTCTGAGAAAAACAGAAAATACAGGACATTTTACATGTCTGGTATTTTCTGGGTTTTTTTTTTAACTGGACAGGGGCCACAAATACCGGACTGTCCGAGCAAAAACCGGACACCTGGCAACCTTAGTGGCACTAAGTATTACTTTCTCTTGGATGCTTAGCTGACTATTTCTTGCTCATATGCCCAGGGTCTAACAGATCACTGAAGGTGCGGTTCAGATTCATCCCTCCTATTCCTTGCCTGTGGCATATAACAGTGAGAGTAACACTTTGGTCACACTTTGGTGACTGGGTTAAATGTGCGGGTGCTGGGTGGCCTGTGATACACAAGAGATCAGGTTAGCGGATTTGGTGGACCCTTCTGGGCTTACATGCTGACTGTGACACTAAGGGCTTGTCTCCACTATGCTGGGAATTGCTGCTGCAGCGATCAATTCACTGGCCATCGATTTATCATGTCTGCTTAGATACGATAAATCAATTTCAGGAGCTCTTCCATCGATGCTGGGATTCCATAGGATGAGAAGAGTAGCTGATGTGGTAGGGAGAGAAGCCCCCGGTGACCTTACTGCACACAAGGCATAGTTTTGTGTAGGTAACATCATATAGATATTAGATTGACCCTGGGGGTTAGTGTAGACAAGGCCTAAGTGCTGGAACAGGAAGTGCTGTGTGTGTCCCATTAACGTTAGTGGAGTGGAGATTGCAGGACTGGGTTATCAGAAGTGCCTCAGAGTCAGATTTTTAGAGAGTTGGTCTAGACTGCATCCCTCTGTTGGCAGAGGAATGCAAATTAGGCAGGTCGACATTGCAAATGAGGCAGGGATTTAACTATCCCACACCTCATTTGCATAAAAATGGCCACCACGTTCTGCCAACTCAGCACTTTTTTGGCAAAAAGCGAGGGGGATCTGTCGAGAAAGAAAGCCTTTTTCGACAGATTCTTTATGCCTCCTGCAAGGAGGTTTACAGGTACTTACAGGTGAGTAGAAGCATCTATTGAGATTTTTCAAAAGCACGTAGGCACCTATAATCAATGGGAGGTAGATGCTTTTGAAAATCCCACGGGGCACCTCTCTGCATCTTTAGGTATCTTTCAAAATATCCCTAAGTGACTTCAGAGCTTGCCAGTCACTGAGGGTATGTCTACACTACCCCGCTAGTTCGAACTAGCGGGGTAATGTAGGCATACCGCACTTGCAAATGAAGCCCGGGATTTGAATTTCCCGGGCTTCATTTGCATAAGCAGGGCGCCGCCATTTTTAAATCCCAGCTAGTTCGAACCCCATGCCGCGCGGCTAGACGCGGCACGGAGTAGCTAGTTCGGATTAGGCTTCTAATCCGAACTAGCTGTACTCCTCGTGGAATGAGGTTTTTTGGAATGCCATTCTGAGAAAGAGAGCTACTCCAGGAAAAAGGTAACACTTAGGGTCAGTAGGTACGAGGCCCTGTATGGGCAAATAGTAAGTGCAAATAAAAAATAATGATTTCTAACTGACCTGACCCTGCAGCTCTTCTGACAGGAGAACGTCATTGTGTTATTTCTCGTACGGATACCAGTGCAGCTCTGCTTCGCTTTGTACTTCTCTGATCTACACTACTCAGGAAACAGGACTCTTCTGGGACAGTAAATGTTAATTTATAACAGGAACAGCTTCTACAGCTGTGACTTCATGGGACAGATGTTAGGGAGCATGCAAAACGTTATCCTGACAGGGAATGCTATTAATCTCACTCACGTGAGTGATTTTGAGCAGCCTAAAAGCCATTAAGACACACTGTTCCCCTCACACATATTTTATATATTGATGCCTTCTTTTCCAAAGGCTTAAAGCTTGAACTCTATTGTAAGGTGAATGAGTGATAAATTATAATGAAACATTGACTCATACAAAACCCCATTAACCTGAATGGAGAACTTCAAAGCAAACAAATTCCTTCCTGCCCCCCCTCCTTTGTGATATATAAAGGTTGGCTTAAGACAGTTGCTTCTTTTCAAAACATATTCTGCTTTTGTGGTTTTTTTTTAACATTACCATGTTCCCTCTCCCCCCTTCTTTTCTTCCATGGAACTTCATGGCAATATTTTGGAGAACCTAAATAATCATGTCGCAAAACTGTGATCTGAGCTCCCACCCTGCTTCTGCAAAGCACTGAAGCTAGCCTTGAAAGTAGGCATGGGTTTAAGCATGTGTGTCATGCTGGGCTGAACCAAGAGACGAGCATCGGGCTTTGTCTACACTGCCCCACAGTTAGGACTGTGAGGGGTGTGATTAACAGAGTGTGCTGATGTAGCTGACGAAGGCACAAATGAAAGGGTGTCTAGTTTGCATAATGTGGTCCTGCTTGAAGAGGACTCCGTTAACATGAAGTAGGAACCTTTTAATTTGCACCTACAGTATCTGCCCAGGAGAGTTACAGTATAGGACTTCGGTGAACATGGCTATTTATGCCCTTACAGTCCAAACTGTGTGGCCGTGTTCCAGAGATACTAAGATTCTCCAAGAATCAAGTCTGACAAAACCGTGGGATAGAACGGAGCTATTTGGGTCCTCCAAAGACCTTGCAAATCACCTCCAGCCAAGACAGGGAACTGATCCGTCCTGATACTGCAAGTGTAAAAAAACAAGGAGAAACCTGTTTATTTAATCTAGTGGGGGAAGGTCATCTAATCAGTAAATCATTCTGAAGTAACAAAGGGCGAAAGCAGATTGTGCTTTGTTTTACGGATCGCCACAAGGTAACTGGCTAATTTCCAGGTAGATTGATGGTGCCAAATTTGAATACCATTTTTCTATATTAACAGCAGTATACTCTGTAGCTAAAAATATGATGTTTTTAAACCAATGATCCTGAATGTTACGTGGACACACTTACTTTGCTTTCATCCTGGTTTGTATCCGTCCATATTAACTGATTATTTGAATGAACTTGGTTCCTTATTCGGCTACACTGAGGTAACCAGATTTAAATTTAATTGAATCTCTGCATAAGATTTTGCTCCAGTTTAACTACATTGTTTTTTTTTAAAGTGACTGAGAGTTGAACCAATGAAACTTCATACATAGCCAAGGTGCTAGGGTGAAGGTCGTGTGGACGCTTGGTTTCTGGGCTTGGTCCCATCTCCAACAGATGGGAGGCAAAACAAGGACTTATTTCCGCAAAGAGTCTTTACCGTACACACCTACCCTGCTACCAGTTCCAGCTGGAGAAAAAAATCAGATTGAGAGAAGTAGCCTATGCTTGGGCTGGAGATCAGAAAGTACCAAAGTGAAATCAGGTGGCAAATTGTGGGGAACATGTTCTAGTAAGGGGAGAGAGATTCTAGCATGTGCCTTGTTGGGCTGTGATGTAATTTTGTTGGTGGAGGTGTTAGGGTGTTTTTTATATATGATTTAATTGTTCTACCTTGTTAAAATCGAGTGTTATGATGGTGTTTAAGTTAGTAATTGGGCGAATCAAGATGGAGTCTGTGACCCTTGGCCCAGGAATCCATGTTGGATCTCCTCAGGCACTGATGGCTCAGAGACTGGCCTGAATTGGATTTTTCTGCCAAACAGTCTGAGGGTCCTATTCTGCTCAGACTTTTCCCACGCTTGTGGCTATATGAGGACTGTGTTGTCTGAGCCTCAGGCTGTCCGCCATAGTAGCAGCAGTGCATGGGTCCGTCTGTTCTACGCCTTGACAACATGGAACAATCTCAGCAGTGCCTGCAGTGGAGGAAGAAGATGATTATCATCTTCACCAACCCATCCTGCTTGTACTATCAACAGCCTGTGACTCCTTCACCCACCAGTCTGGACAGGACATTGTAGGACTCCCTAGCAGTCCTCCCGAAGGGCCCTAAATCAGTCTGAGAAGAGAAACTCCTGGTTGCCCCCACCATCACCACTACCAAGTCCTTAGGAAAAAAGGGCGTTGCACTTAGATGTTTTCTTACCATTTTAGTCACTGAGCCAAAGGGTTTGATTTAGTGGGTGTGGGCTTCAAGCTGCCCTAGTCACTGAGCCAAAGGGTTTGATTTAGTGGATGTGGGCTTCAAGCTGCCCGGTTTGTTGCTGTCACTATCACTAGTTTCGTTGGATGTTCGTCCTGTCTGCGTCAGGATGTCTTCCCTGTTCCTCCCTCTTTTGTAATTAATCCACTGATAGTTCGCATGAGGCCATCAAGAATCTTGCACGGGCACTCACTATATTCTCTAAAAAGAGCAGTGAATGCCGAAAGCTACTGAAATGTAGAGGGGTGTATTTGTATTGGATGGACATCTGAGATGCTGCCACCATCACTGAAAGTGGAAAGCACGATGAGATAAATGTAGTCAGGGGTCCATGTACACTGAAGTTGTAGCCAAATCCAGGGACCAGCATGCTCCTAGTTTTTAATGTAGATGTACTGCAACCATATTGCATAAGTAAGACTACACAATGGAACCATGTTGTAAACATATCAGGGACTGATATATAATGATTCAGTTCTACTCGTACTATAGATGAGGCATAAGTTAGAAAAATCTGTGCTCTTTTTAGAGGGCTTGAGGTATCAACCAAAAAAAATCACTTTAAGTACTATTTATTACTATCATGAGTTTGTCTTCTAGTATGTATTTTTATTTCTTGTCAACGTGTATTGTTAGTTGATACATTTAATAAGGGTTATGATTCTGAAGACCAAATGTTCATGGAAATTGACATGTTATTCCAAGACACTTAAAAAGCGTTTTGAAATATATTGCAAATATATTTCGTCTTTGCCCACGAAAGCTTATGCTCCTACACTTCAGTTAGTCTATAAGGTGCCACAGGACTCCTCGCCGCTTTTGAAATATATTGGATTTATTCACTAATCAACATTCTCTTGTTTGCCGTAGTTGAATGTCCAAATTTTGCAGCTGTTTCAGAAACCCTCGATTGGGTGAAATCCACCGATGTTCCTTCACTGCTTTGATGGCTTTGACCAAGGGAAAGTGATGTTTGATCATGAGGTACGCCAACACCAACGAAGCTGACCTGCTTATTCCAACTGCACAGTGGACCAAAATTTTAGCTGGTAAGAGAAAATGAACACAAGATATGGCCAAGGAAGATCAGCAATATGTCAGGTGAGGTTTAACTTAAAGTGGAGAAACAATCCCCAAGACGCTCAACAAAGTATTTAGTTTAACAGGTTAGATTTCTAACCCTAGGAGATGCATCAGATGAACTGCTAGTAATCTGGAGTCCAATCTTGCTCCAATAAGTAATTCTTACTCATACCTGATACAGGCTGAACCTTTCTAGCCTGGAACAATTGAGACCTGACCGGTGCTGAACCAGAGAATTTGCTGAACCACAGGAGGTCAATACTGTAGTGAGCAAGTCTCTCTTCATTTTTATTTCATCGAGGCAAATAAACAGAAAAACACTTGCAACGCTGCTAAATAATCATCTATGACTGTATCAATATTGACACATGATTACGCTTTGCAATATTACCAACACTTCCCCTGCTTACTCTTAGAAAGCATATTTAGGGATAAATGAGAGCTAACTAACAGCACAGGGCACAGAAAGCAGGACTGGCAGCTATAAACAAACTTTGCTGGACTATGAGGAACTTGACTCCACCCACAATAAATAGACATCTGTCTAACTAAAATCATGCTGGATCACTGTTATTGCTGGACCAGAGAGGTTCAACCTGTATCTCTTTTTGATGAGACTACAAGTTGGGGTGATAAAGGTAATAGTGTTGATGTAATATATTTAGTGTTGATGTAATATATATATTTTAATATATTCAGATGTCTGACTTGATATTGCATGACATTTTGATTAAAAAACCAACAGTGATATAAAATTAACTGGTACCCGTTAAATGGATTAAAACATTAAAACCGGGCTAACTGCTAGCTCTCAAAATGGAATTGTATGTGGGGAATTGTCACTGAGTGGGTACATTTCCAGTTGTGTCTCACAGGCATCATTGTGCACCCTAACTAATTTAACATGATTTATCCATGACCTGGAGGAAACCATAAAATCATTGCTGATACAGTCTGCAAATGATACAAATTAGGAGAGAGGTAAATAATGAAGAGGACAGGTCACTAAGAGTATGTGTTTTAATATGGCTAAATGCAGGGCCGCGTTATGACTTTCATGGGCCCTAGGCACTTTTGCCTTCGTGGACCCCTCCCACCATAATAATATCAATATTAAAAATTATTTTTGATATAACTTTAAATATTTCAACATTTTATTTTTTTCTGTTAGGCAAAATGTAATAGATTTTCGTGGGCCCTAAAAGTTTCATTTTTTTCTGATGTGAGAGAAAAAATTAAAACATTTTCTTCGACCCTAAAAGTTAATTTTTTTTCTTCTGATTTTAAAAGAAATTAAAACATTTTCGTGGGCCTCTAAAAGTATTGTGGGCCCTAGGCACTGTGCCTACTGTGCCTAATGGATAAGTCGGCCCTGGCTAAATGTAAATGTATACGTCTAGGAACAAACCATGTACTTGAAATCAATGGGAAGTATCCGTATAAATAGGAATTGTAGGTTTGGGCCTGGATGAATGGAGAAAAATACAAGTTGAACTACAAGATAAATAAGAGGTTTATTGCCACTAGCTGAGGATCTGCTCTTTGTGGACTGTTGCTAATTGTTATTCTATTGTGGTAGGGCCTAAGGACCAAGCTCATTTAGGCAAGGCACAGTACAAAGAGGTTATTCACTAGATTTTGTACAATACATTGAATGTTTCTTTAGTCCTGAGTGTTATCCTTCATGGCCCAATTATACAACCCTTATGGAATTTACTTGCAAAGAATGAAACTCCTCACATGAGGTGATTTCTTAATTTCTTGGATAGTGTGAAACTCCTCACATGAGTAAGGGCTGTTGGATGAGGCTATCCTGCTTTTTACACATTTGCATTGATTTACAAATGTATTTTTTCACAATATATGACAACACACTGAGGCAACAGACCCGCTGAGGCTGAGTACAAGCATGACTAGTAATAGTAAATAGACAAAACACAGGGGTGGCACACAGTGCACAATCAGCATGTGGAACTTGTTGCCAGGGGATGCAGTAAAGGCCAAAATTATGACCAGGTTCGAAAAATAACTTGATGAGCTCATAGAGGATAAACCCATCTATGTCTATTAGCCAAGATAGATGCAACCCCAGGCTCTGGCTGTCAATAGCTTCTGACTGACACAAGCTGGGAGTGGCCAACAGGAAATAGATCACATGATGATAGCCTGTTCTGTTTGTTCCCACTGTAGCACCTGACATTTGCCATTCTCAGAAGCCAGGATAAAAAGACCCACTCCTGCTAGTTATGTTCATATCCCTCTTGGACCATGTCTGTGAGTTTTCATACAGAAAATGAATGCATCAGGCCAAATCACGCTACAGAATAATATCTTTTAGCTGTGCATCCTTACACTCCTCTCCTCTTTCTTGTCCTAGCCTCATATGTTTTTTCTATATCCTGTGGGATTGTTTCTTTGCTGTTATAGGATTCCCAGTGTTAGGAATGTGTCTCCATTTTAAATATTCATGTTTTCTCTTTTAGATTCAGCCTTTCTTCCCACCTGTTTTCACTTTGATTTTCTCTCCTGTCTTTTCTACTTCAATCTCTCCTCACCCTTTCTGCTGTGAGTTTATTCTCCCCCCTCTGCCTCTCCCCACCCAGCTCCACTTCTCTGTACCCTCCCTAGGTTGTTTTGAGAGACAGGTGGTGGGGACTAGAAAGGAAGAGGTGCTGATCACAGGTTGCACTCAGCACCCTTCAAACGGTTGGTGATGAGTATGCCAGAGCATGAGCAGGTGACTGAATTAATGGGGATCACCCTGCCGAGGTGGGGGAGTTAATCTAACTTGTGGGATCAGCCTGTCGAAACAGTGTGTCATCCTAAACCCAACTGAACAGCAAGGATTCCGTACCTCCTGGTGTGTTCAAGGCTTTATTTATAAACTCTGCTGCAGAGAAAAAGTACTGACTTATGTCGAAGTCTGGAAGGTCATAGGCTGGTACGCCATAGTAATCAATGGTTGTGCCATAAAAGTCCTGGCCTCCTTGGCAGAACATTGTGCCGTGGGCAGCGTTTAAAACATGGGTAATGCCCATCTTCCATAAACCAAATCTGTTGTGAGCTGTAACTCTAAGGAAAAGACAAACACACACAAATAGATTTGCAGAGATTTGACAGAGTAGGAAAACTTTTGTGGTTGCGTTTTCCAGGGCAGAAATTAAGACATTTACACAACAATTAATGACCCAACCATATTTTTATCTCACATAGATTTCAAGGCTTGCACTATTCAAATCTTTATCAGCTAGCAGAATCAAGAATTCCTCAGCACGATCCAGTACCCATAAGCCAGACTTACAATAAACAAGACCTTTCAAGGCTTGCACTATTCAAATCTTTATCAGCTAGCAGAATCAAGAATTCCTCAGCACAATCCAGTACTCAAAAGCCAAACTTACGATAAACAGGAGCACCAGAATTGTAGTCATCTGAAAGGGGCAAAAAGTACTGTATTCTACCAAGCCATTCCACGAAGTTATACTTACAGGTCTCCTAAGAAGAGGTTAGGCCAGACTTCATCCGTGCGGTTACAAGAATATGGTCCAGTACTCAAAAGCTGCTCTAGGTCTTGAACTGTAGGGTCCTCAGCTGTCCATGTCTCAGCACTTTCTGGGTCCTTGGAGAGCAACACATCCCCCTCAGCCATAGTCGTTAAAAGAGAAACTTTGCTCTCAGAAATCAGAGAAACCGAACCAAGGCTGGCTTGTCTGCTTGGATTTTGCCAACATTCCCAGCTGTCCTTTTTCCATCGCTGGAGACTAGTGGCAACAGGTGCTGGTCCGCAGCATGGGAATATCCTGTTCAACACACTGCAAAAGAAACACAGTCGCCCGATCTTCAGAGACAGACATTAAATGATCCAACAGCACTAAAAAGCAAAGGCTAATCGGTGCAATTATGATGAAAATATGCTCAGTCCTAGTGAGCTAACGCAGAGTAGATTTGTCTTTAGTGCTTTGATTGATTTCCCCCACTGGAGCACCACTTCTGCGAGGCCCAGCTGCCTTGCTCTCCTTTCCCACAACAGAATGAGGCCCTTGCTCAGTGCCATAAACCCCTCCTTCTGAAGGCCCAGCTGCCTTGCTCTCCTTTCCCACAACAGAATGAGGCCCTTGCTCAGTGCCAGAAACCCCACCTCCTGGTGGGCTGCTAATCTCATTCTTCCCACCATCCCTAGCTCCTTGTACAGCCCCTTTCTTGGCTCTGCAATGGTTTCCCCCATACAAGAGTTCAGTTTTTGATGCAACCCACCTTCCCCTGCAGGTTGTCAGCTACAAAGACTAACTTGTCAGGCACTTCTGGCAGTGGGAAGAGGGGAGTGTATTGGGAGGGCAGATCAGAGGCTGAGGTCGGGTGAGTCTGGAGGATCACTTCAAGCGTGATTCTTAACCTCCTATGCTCTCAGCAGCCACAAATCCTCCTCCATCCCAAAAAACCCTAGTAAGTTTTACGGGACCACCCATCCCAACACCTAGGAATTAGCTGCTTTAAGGGTTAACACTGAACAGGCCAGCCTCAAACAAGGCTCATCTTATTGAAATTTTTTCAACTGAAATTATTTCATTGAAAAATGCATCCCAAATACAACCAAAATTGTCCCACTCCTCTCCAGAAGTAGTAGTAATATTACAGTCTTGATCCTGGGACTTCAAATTTATGTGTGCATGCTAGTTCTCTGCCTGCAATACTCCCACCTCCCACACCAGACCTGTCATTATTCACTATAAAATCCCAAACACAGCAGCTCCCATTAACAACATCTAGCCCAGTATTAAGTGAAGAAAAGCTCTGGTGAAGAAGAAACCTTCCAGTCACCCTAATAACCATCCCCAAATGACACATGGGCTATTACAAATGTAATTGCTACAAAGCTGAACGCACAGCTGGAGAGGTTCCATTGACAAGGTAAGCATCAGGATGAATGTTGAGTGGATTATGATGTCACTTAGTTATCACTCATGATCATGTGCTTTGGAAGTGGCTCACTGAATGAGCTACTGACTTTTCATCTTTGGGGAAAAATCCGAGTCTCAGGGTACGTCTACACTGCATGGCTATTTGGGGATTCCGGAGGTCTTAACAAGCTGCCTGTTATTTTGAAATATTTTTCAAAATAACAGGCACGCTGTTTCGGCATCCTGGTAACCCTCGTTCCACAAGGGTTAAGGGATGTCTCGCAATAGGCTATTTCAAAATTTGGTGTGTCTACACGGAATAAAATAATGAATTTTATTTTTTTGCAAAAAACTAATTCCCTCATCAACATAATAAGCGGAATAAAATAATGAATTTTATTTTTTTGCAAAGCATTTTTTGTGACATTAGAAAACTAATTCCCTCATTATCAACATAATAAACAGCAGCAGTGCAGACTTTCATGAATTTCCTTACTAATTCTCAACTTAGCATTTTCAGCCTATGTCCAGGGTCTTTGGCATTCTAACCAGCAGGACATGAACAAGACTATTTGATGAATTTCTACTGTGTGTGTGTTTTATTACCTTTATAAGTTTTTACCCTGTGCTGTAATTTTTTTTCCTTTTTTTAAATAAATTATGGCTTCTGAATGTTTTGCTGTGACAAAAGATCTACCTTTTCTCCCCCCCATGACAAAGAGCCATTGTGTTCTCGTTACTAGCCCCATTAGCTCTTGGTCATCCGATCCCTCTTCTGGAAAGCTTCTATTTATAAGAGTCAGAAAGAGGCAGAGCTGGACGCAAGCAATATCATGGTTGTGCTTGCACTTAGCTATGGTGTTAAGACTGGTGAGTACTTTCAAAGATTACCAAAAAATGTTGAAATGAATAGAGCAAATATATCTCTTCTCCATCAGACTGCTACTTACAGTTTTCATGTAGGATTAGAGTGCTAAAGGTACAAAAAATGCCAAGCTGATTTAGCTTTAGCCAATTAGCCCTGATGGTTTTGGAAGCATAGTTACCAGGTTTAGTTTCTTTGCTAGAACATAGTCTTCACAAGCCATGCAAATCCTTCATTTTCTCTTTATTCGCTTGGGGCTTGTATTGTGGCATGGTTTTTTTTTTTCTGTTTTATGACATACTTATATCAAATGACTAAACTCAATTTTAATAATATTACTTATTTTACTAAAGTGTATTTACATGTACCCATTACATGTACACATCCCATGTTATATCACTACATATAGAATGTGACCCTGTTGTAAAATATTAAGTAGAAACAGGAAGAGTTGAGAGCACTGTGGTAACCTTAACTCAATTTGCTGATTAAAACCCTCACCCTAACTGACCTAATATAATACTGCATGTCAGTGATCTTGTTATCAATGTAAAGCTCCACCTGACAATTAAAACTTGTAAAACATGCTTCTTGGAAACTTGCAGTTGTTTTAAACAGCTGGAGTATAGCACTTGTTTTAAATCCCTAGGCTGACTCACCAGCATTGCCATGACATGTCAAACTTAGTCATATCAATCAATTCACATCGTGTGCCATGAAGTGACATGACATGAAGTGACTGAATGAGGTTTGTTGGAAACTGCTGTTGAATAAAGCACTCAGTGTTTAACCCAATCTTTTAAAAATGCACCAAATTTAAGCAGGCAGAAGCAGCCTCTAATTTTGAAATTCAACTAATAAATTACAGTTACGTTTACAGAAAAAAGAATTGACTTGTGCTGTTTGTCACTTTTCTTTACAGTAATTTGGCAGTTTATGGAAATAGCAGTTAAACAATGAAACAAGAGACAATAACATCACCATTCACAGTGAGAACTTACGGTAAAGCCCAATAGTCTAGGTTCTCCCTAGTAGTGAGATGGCTTTGTGTCTGGCAGTGCAGAATCGCCCTAAAGCCAGCCTAACCAGTGGTCAGCATAGCTATTTCTCTGCTACCCCTAGCTCTATGGTTGATATAAGGTATGTGGTCACAGTTGTGACCCCTGAAAATGCACAGCTGCTGTAACTGTGATCCTGGCCCACATGCACACATCCTTGCATCCTTCCAAGATTAAGCCCTTTAAGATTGAGACTAAATTCAGGGAGCACATGACATGATCCTGCGACTACCCCATTGCAAGAGATGCCAGCTATATCTAGAGTTTACCTGCAGTAGAGAGAAATGCAGGGTAAGGAAAAGACCTGGGAGGGGCCCTCAATAGTAACTCAAAAGCATGTGTTCTCTCCTGTCTGGTGGGAAAAGATCTATGCCTTAAGTGTTTTGGATTTTTTGAGCCTTTGCGCCTTCTGTTGTTGAATAAGCTTGTCCTAAGGATAGGAGCATGTCGTGGTGGTGGTTTTTTTGTTTGTTTGTTTTTGACTGCTTCAGCTGCTATTCAGCATACAGGATGACTGGTAACCAACAGAATTTGGAGCCCTTATGTTATGGACTGGACTAGAACGGTGCGTAGCTGACCCAGGCTCTAGGAGGCACATATGTGGCTTAAGTATACGTCCTTTCTGTGCTTTGTTGTTCATTTCTTGTTGGGGTTTATTTGTTCTTCCTTTGATACAGTGTTCTCTAAATTCATTACAGAAACTTCAGTCCCATCCTCACAGATATGTACCTGGCTAGTACAGGTTGAACCTCTCTAGTCCAGCACTCTCTGGTCTGGCAACATCTATGGTCCGGCATGATTTTAGTTAGCCAGATGTCCACTTTTCATTGATGTCTCCAAGTTTAATTGGTGCCTGTAAACAAAAGTCTGGCTCTCAGTGTTCTCTGCTGTTATGTAGCTCTCATTTACCCCTAAATGTTTTGTAAGCAGTGGAAGTGTTGATGCTGCTGCTAAACAGTATCTACCTCCTGTAGCTTGGCAAATTCTCTGGTTCAACATCCGTCAGGCTCCAAGGGTACCAGGCTAGAGAGATTCAACCTGCACTCCAAACAATATGGAAGTTTGAGGGAGAAGGGCCCCTTCACTACATTTAGAGGCTATCACAGTTCTGACTTTTGGCCCCTTTACCTCTCAGTGCTGTTGACATTAAAGCAAGCCACTTGACATTCAGGAACTCCCTGTGGTTTTCCTATGATTTGAGTACTATTCCTGGTATCATAGCCTGAACACACAACCAGTGTGGTAACAAAATGATTCCCACAGAGAATAATTTCCTTTTACTGATTACACTATGCCCTTTGGGTCCTGTGGAAACCTCATACATTCAAATTAGTGATAATGGCAAAGTCTTTCATGGGACCATCCTTACAAACTTTTGCCCAGGAGCTGTTAAAAAATAGCCATGAAGAAAATTGTATTAGAAAATATTACATAGTACCAGGGACATATGTATGAACAATCCCTTGGTCACATACAACAGTAAAAGGGTGGGGGAGAGAATGGTGAATTTAGCCCTAAGTATCCCTGGAAACCACAAGAAATATCAACTTCCATTGGAAAACAGTAGGAAAGTACTTAAAGTCTGTGGAGAACTAGAAGGCTCAGGGGATTGGCTGTGGCAGATGGAATTTTTTTTGTACCTACGTCACTAACTGCAAAGGGGCTGAGCTGGCTGAAATGTAGCAGCTGAAGACTGTTCAGCAATCTTATGTGAATTAGTGGTTTCAGTGCAAAAAGTCACTGTTACAACTGGAACTCTTTGTGGGTTGGCAGTGTTATCAGAGAGGCCAAGGATTAATGGTTGCTAGTGTCTATGCTCATTAGGAGAATGATGAAAGGGGTTTGAAGTCAGAGACCTTGGATTAGGCAATTTTTGGCTGCAAAATTTTGAAGCAAAAATGTCACTGAGGTGAGATCGGGACATAAAATTATGGGCAGAAATTCTTACACTTCTTCCAGCACGAATTGTAATTAAATTATCTTGGACAATT